TATGCACATCAAAAAACTTCTCCCACAAGGTAAAAAGGGAAGCCACATACTGGTGAAAAATATTTGCTAATGACATGCTGGATATAAGGGAATTATATATAGAATTTATAGAATATTAGAGTACTGCAACAAGATAAAGGTAAACAACTCAATCACAAAATGAGCACAGGATATAAACAGACACTTCACCAAAGAAGACATTCAGATGGTGAACAAACACATGAAGAAATGTTCAAAATCCCTAGCTCTAAGAGAGATGCAAATCAAAACAACTATGAGATATCATCTCACTGCAATACAAAAGCAAAATTTAACAGAGCAGCAAGCAATCAATGCTGGCAAGGTTGTGGAGAAACTAGAAACCTCATTCACAGTTGCTGGGAGTGTAAAATGGTACAGCCACATTGGAAGGCAGTATAGCACCTTCTCAAAAAGTTGGAAATAGAAATACCATTTGACCCAACAATTCCACCACTGGGACTATACCTTGAAGAAGCCAGAGCTTCCACCCAAACAGATTTATGCACACCCATATTTATTGCTGCATTGTTCACCATAGCCAAGTGATAGAAACCACTCGTGTCCATCAACAAACAAATGGATAGAGAAGCTGTGGTATATTCACACAATGGAATACTATGCAGCACTGAAAACAAAGAACTCATAAAATATTATACAAAATGGGTGATTCTGGAGGACATTATGCTGAGTGAAATACCTCAGTCACAAAAAGACAAATACTGCATAATACCACTATTATAGAACAAGACTAATATGGGAATTCAGGGGAATTAAGAAAAGAGGGGATAAATAATGTACTCAGCATTGAAACAGACAAGAGAGAGAACTGTGTAAAAGGAACATATGAGTAGGTATTACTGGCATGACAAGAGTATAGAATAAGAGTTGCATAGTGAAGTGGTCAGGTGGGGGGCACTGTATAACAATGAAAGAACTTTTTTTTCCAAAGGAAAAAAGTGAACTGGGGCGGCGGTAGGGAGGAAAACGTACAACAATGAATGAACGGAAATCCATGTTCTTTATAAACTTGCATTAAAATAAAAAAAGAATACTATGCAGCATGCAGGAGCAATGATTTTGAAAATTACTACCTAACTATGGAGGGACTGGAGAGCATTATACTAAGTTAACTCAGTCCCATAAAGACAAATGCTTCATAAGACCATTATTGTAGAAACAGAAAACTAGTAAAATGTGTAGGAGGATCCAAGTGGGGGAGGGTAGGCTGGGCAGAGGGGTGACGATGGGCAGGGGAGTAATCATAGGGTCACACAATTTCATGCACAGAGCGAGGGCTAGGTAAAGGAAATGGGAAAGATCTTATACAAACTTTATCTGCAAACCAATATCAAATTTAAAAAAGAAAGATGTGTTTCGGGGCTATATACTCTCTCCATAACTTTTCAACTTATATACTGAGTAACTAATCTGAGAAGCTGGAATTTAAAAGAATCTGGACTTTATCAACAACCTTCATTATTCAAATGACACAACCTTACTGGCTGGCAGAAAGTGAAGAGGACTTGAAACACTTGTGGTAGAAGATCAAAGAGTACAGCCTACAATATAGATTACATATGAAGCAAACATCCTTTTCACAGGGCTAATAAGCAACACCATGATAGATGGAGAAAAGATGGAAACAGTCAATAAATTAATCTTCCTTAAATCAATTATCAACAACATTGATACCAGCAGTCAAGATCAAAAGATATATTGCACTGGCAAGTCTGTACTCAGGCACCTCTCCAATTTGTTGAGGAGCAATGATGTCCGTTTGAGGACTAAGGTGCACTTACTTAGGCCATGGTCTTTTCAATTACCTGCTATGCATCTGAGAACTGAATCATGACTAAGGATAAAGAAAGATCAATGTCTTTGAGTTGTAATGTTAGAGAAGAGTGCTAAGTTGCATGGAATGCCAAAGGAACAAAAGGATATTTATTAGTGAAAGTGCAGCCAGTGTGTTCCGTGGAGGCAAGGATGATGAATCTTCATCTTACATAATTTGAGCATGTTACTAGAAGAGGCTATTCCTTGGAAAATCCGATGATCAGCAAAGGTGAGGAAGACTCCCGACCAGGGGGATTGCCACAGTGACTGCAGTAACGGGACCGAGTATATCAGAGATCGTGAGGATGGCACAGGACAGGACATGATTCAGACCTGCTGTGCATAGGATTGCTGTGAGTCATAGTCATCGTGCTTGGCCCTAACAACAACAACAATGCATGAAGACTGGATAAGCCAGGTACGGAAAAATGTGGACAAGCCATAGGGCTTCAGGTTAGGGCAGGAAGGAAACAGTCAATTCCAATGGGGCCAGTGGGGCCCTGCAAAATTCTGATTGTCATTAAGAAATTCATGGGTATGATTCTGATGCCTGAGCGCTCAGGTAACATCTCAGGAATGTTAGTACTGAGCACTTGGTGGGGACATGTTTCTTTGAAAGGTCTCCACTCCTGCCCTGGACCTTAAAGACAGACTTTCCTATCTAACAAGAAGGAGACCTACAGGAACAGAGAATGGACCCTCCCTAGAACAGAGTGTATGCCACGGGGGCCAAGTGCCTGCTCTCAGCCCTGGAAGATACCAAACACAGTTGCTGGGAGAGGTACTGTCCCCTACATCTTTATTTTGGGAGTTACAAGAGGATGTAAGGAGTGAAATGACAGTCTTACAGGTATAGATGGTTCCTTTAACCATTCACAGATTGTTCCATCACCATGCAAATGATCCTGGCCCTACTACATGTCCCTGGGAATTCCTAACTATGGGCACAATAGGTGATGGTTGTGGAGGAAAGGTGATATGGTTTTCTGGAAGAAAGAAACCAAGGGTCTCCTCAACTTCCAAGTGAGGATTGAGGAGACCATGATTTTAAAATAGATAGACCCCATGAGTATCAATCCCTGATTTCAGTTCAGGGAGATACTAGTGTCTCCTAAATTTGGCTGGGATCTGAGGGACAAAAGGCACTTCCATTACCACAGGGGAGCCAAAAGCAATGGATAGGACATAGGAGACCTGGAATCTCAAAAGAGAGAGAATCTCAGAGTATCAGGTCCTGGGGTTCTAGGGAATACCAGCAACCCCTCCAATAATCCTTGCAGTCTGAAGGACAAACGGTATCTTCTGAGAGGTCAGCCTCTATCATTGCATGGAGTGGTCCTGGCCCTGCTGGGAATAGAAGGGAGTTGTGAGGGGATACAGGAGCTCCAAACAAAGGGTCTTCCAGAGAGTCCACTCCCGATGTCAGTCCTGGGCAGTCTCAACTACCTCTTAATTCAGACTCAGGATCTGAGAGGGTTCAGCCATGTGATTTTTAATATGGCTTGTCAATGTGGTCATGAGGTTGACTAAAATACCTTGGGTGGTAAAATACGTCTATGATGTTAGTGAGGAAGCTCCGTGGGTCTAATGGTAAGATTGTGATACAATCACAAAGGCATGTCTTCAAATGCTCCTGTGGAGGATGGGCAATCTCCTGCTGTGCACTTTACTGCCTCTGAAAATTTGCTAGAGGGTTCACTACGAGTGGGTTCCCACTCTACTGTACTCAACAGCATGTGACTGGTGAGGCAAGGTGGACTAGGGCCAGTTCTCTAAAGACAGAATGAGCTTTATCTGATTAAGGTTGGTTCCACGGGGGGTATGACCTGCATAGTATAAAAGGTTGAGCTCTCCAGCAAGAAGCTACAGCCCTTTCCACTCATCTGAAAGTGAATCCCTGGCTTGTGTCCTCCAGACTTGCACCTGGGGTCGGCAGAACCTGCCCCCTTTGCAGTCTGGAGCCAAGCCGACTGGCTCCCCGACAACCTTTAGATTCATTGGCCTGCTGAAGCTGAAGCTAGGAGTCTCTGAAGACTGGGTTCTGAGACCCTGCGTGCCTGCTGACGACTTGGACACAAGTCTCTCTAGACATACCTCTCTCTCTCGATCTGAATTACGGACCTGAAATTTACCTGCCTCTACAAGCACGTGAGCCATTTTTTTAAATCTCTCTCATTCTCTCCTCTCCCCATCCCTCCTGTCTGTCTGTCTGTCTGTCTCTCCCTCATCTGTTTGATTTGCTTCTCTAGAGAACTCAGCTTGAATCCATGGACTCGATCCTCACCTACGGCCCCTGCTAGGAGTAATGGGAAGGGCTGAGGGCACACTAGGGCCCAGAACACAGAGACCTCTGAAAGAAAGTCCCCCAGCCACAGCTCTTGAGTCCCTCAGCATGGCTCTACCGAGATAGAATCTCATAACATTTCTCCCTAGGACCTCAGGAAGGTGGCGTGAAAGTCGATCGGCAGAGGGAATCACATCTGATCAAGACAAGGGATATCTCAGGTGCTGCTGGGAGTCAAGGTGAGGACTCTGGTGAAGAGAGAAAATACTAACCCCCATAGAAAAAAGGGGGAGGGGCAGGCAAGTTGGGCTGGACCTTGTTCTCAACCCCGAAAGGCCCCAGGGATGGCCAGAGGTGGTATGCCCTCCCAGGCTTCTATGTGGTGGGAGTCAGGGCCAGTGGCTGGCAAGGTGAAAGGTGAATGTTTTGAAGGAGATCTGAGGGTGCCCTCCATTTCAGCATCTCCCATGTCAGTGCTGGGGGATCCCAGACCCCCTCACTGCTCACATGGGTCTCAGCGAGGTGAGCGTCTAGGTTGGAGGGGGTGATGCCAAGTCAGTAGAGGACAGAGTCCTGTTCTACTAGGTGTCAAGGTGAGGACCCCAAACATGGACCAAGTTCTCACCCACCAGGAAGAGCAGTAATTCCATATCCCTCAACTCCACACACCCCAATGTCACCCTAGAAAATCAGACCTGCACCCCAGGGAGGTGGGCACTTCCCACTTGGGGGATCTTTAAAATAGATTGTCAGGACAACAGGGCATCTGTGAGGTCCAGAGGAAGGCCTCTGTCAGAGCCATCAAGGTTGAATTTCTCAGCTGAGGCTGTTGACTACACACCCCTTCTTCCCTCTTTTCCAGAAGTCGACCACCACGGGCAACCATCAGCCATCCTCCTTCTGGTCGCCAAGACTCATCATGTCGCAGAAGAGTCAGGACTGTGAGCAGAAGCACGGGCTCCAGGAGCAGAGCGAGCCCCAGATCCTGGAGGGGGTGCAGAGCCCAGGGGCTGAGGAGGGGGCGGCTGCCATGGCCTCTACTGCCCCCTCTTCCTCCTCTGCTGAGTGTTCCCTGATCCCGGGACCCCAGGAGGAGGGGACTCCTTTGGGGGCAGAGAGTACACCCCAGAGTCCCCAGGATGCCTCCTCCTCCCCCGAAGGGGCCATGTCAGCTGAGGGCACCAGCAATCAGGAAGGGGCGGGTGCTAGAGCCCCCAGGGCCAGGTCTAATGCTGAGCGCAGGCGCAGAGAAAATCTAGAAAAGAATGTGTGGCTTTTGTTGAATTTCCTGCTCTTCAAGTATCAAAAGCGGGAGAGCACTAATAAGACAGAAATTCTAGCTCTGCTCAGCAGAAGGGATGAGAGATACTTCCCCAGGATCTTTGGGCAGACCTTGGGGATCCTGCAGCTGCTCTTTGGTGTGGAAGTGAAGGAAGTGAACCCCACCTCCCACACCTATGTCCTGGTCCCCTCCCTGGGCCTCACCTATGACCTGATGTCCCAGAGCCATGTGCTGACCTTGCCCAGGAACGGCCTCCTGATCACGGTCCTGTGTGTCATCTTCCTGGAAGGCGGCCATGCCCCTGAGGAGAAGATCTGGGAGGCACTAGACACGATGGATGTGCATGCAGGGAGGGAACACTTCATTTTTGGGGAGCCCCGCAGGCTTCTCACTCATGACTGGGTACAGAATGGGTACCTTGAGGTCAGACGAGTGCCTAACAGTCAGCCTCCTTGCTATGGGTACCTGTGGGGGCCACGGGCCTATGCAGAAACCAGTGAGCTAAAAGTCATAGAGTATCTGGCCAATATCAGTGGCAGGGACTTGAGTTCCTTCCCAGGTCATTACATGCGGGCTCTGAGAGAGGCGGAGGAGGAGAGAGGGCGAGCTGTAGCCAGAGCCTTGTACAGGTCCTTTGGTTGTATCCATCCCAGGCCACACCCACCACCTCCTAACGCTTAGGCCTGGGGACAAACTTCACTGCTAAGAGAGCAATCAGCCACTGAAGCAGTGGAGGGTCAGAGAGGTCAGGAGGGAGGGGTGGCGGAGCATATAGCATGATTTTGTTTTGATTCTAGCGAGCCCAATGTGGTTACTCTTCTGTGTCTTTCTCCAGCAATTTTTCAACTCTTGTTCCTTTTAATAAGTGGTTTAAACACCAGGATATCATTTTATAAGTTATATTATTTACCCTTATTTGCTCCTGAGTCAAGCAACAGCACAAAGCTTCCATCCTGATGTGTGAACCTACAAAAAATTGATCAGAAAGGAATATATGATTATACATTATATGTATGACAACAATCTGGAAAAAGGGCTACATGGCAGTGTAAGTTAGGGGAGGGAGACAAGGGGAAAGAAAATGTGCAAAAAAAAAAAAAGAAAAAACTTTAAAATTGTATAGTTTAGTTCCCCCCAAGCCCGATGTCAGTCCTGTTTTATAACAGTGGCATTAGGTGGTATTTGTCCTTTTGTGACTGAGATATTTCACTCAACATAATGTCCTCCAGGGTCACCCAGTTTGCATAATATTGCATGAGTTCCTTGCTTTTCAATGCAGCATAGTATTCCATTGTGTATACCACAGCTTCTCTATACATTCATTTGTTGATGGGCACTTGGGTTGTTTCCAACTCTGCTATTCTGAATAAAACCGCAATAAACGTGGGTGTGCATATATCTGCTTGTGTGGTGGTTCTGGTTTCTTTAAGGTATATTCCCAGTAGTGGAATTACTGGTCAAATGGTATTTCTAGTTCCAGCTTTCTGAGAAAGCCCCATACAGCCTTTGATAGTGGTTGCATCATTTTACACACCCACCAACAGTGAATAAGGGTTCCAGTTTCTCTACGACCTCGCCAGCATAAATAATGTCCACTGCATTGAAATATATGAGGGAGAGAACTGTTTAAAGGGGATATGTGATTGGATATTGTTTGCATGACAAGTTTCCAGAGTAGGAGCTGCATAGTAAAGTGGACTGTTGGGGGCAGGTGTGCATAACAAAGAAGGAATTTTTTTTTTTCAAAGAGAAAAGTGAACTGGAGGGAAGGAAGGGGTGGGCAGGAAGGAAAATGTGCAACAACGAATGAGTGGAAATAAATGTTCTCTATATTCTTTCATAAAATCTCAATTAAAAAATTTTGCTATTAAAAATTATATACTTTACCAAAAGCAAGATAAACACAGTATTCATATCGCAAACATCTAGAATATCACAAGATCAGGTCTTTTATTCCTTTTCCTTTTCCCCCAAAATTAGGAGCTCTGGTAGCCAAGTCTGTAGGGAGTTGAGCCGACATCCCAAAGGCAGGCGGTTGGAGTCGCCCAGCTGCTCTGTGGGAGAAAGGTAACGTCCTGCCATGTGATTTATCACCACTGAAAACCCGCTGGAGGCTCAGCGGAGTCAACTCCACGGCAGTGAGGTAGTGTCGTTGTTCAAAGAGGGTGTCAGATGGGGGGTCCCCAGGCTGGGGTGCCAAGCACAAATGCCCCCCCCACAGCATCCTGGGACTCTGGGGACACAGCTCCTCCTGAGGACTGCCCTGTGAGAGAGAGGTCTGGGTGGACAGCTGCTCTTTGGGCTCACGTGGTATTTATTGCCTTACTGAACGCAACCAGTGGTTTACATGGGAGAGGACCTGGGAGGGAGAGAAGGACTCACATTCGAGGAGCTCTGAATGGCCTCTCACCCAGAGTCAGGGATGAACCCTCTGGAAGGGAGAGCTTCCTGAGTGTGTGTCAGAAGAGGCATTTTTGGATGAGGTAGTGTCTTAGGTGACTTCCTGTTCTGTGAGAGGCCTGGAAAAGGAAGCCATGTCCAGAGGGAAAGGTGGTGGAGGACATCTGGGACCAGAACAGTCCTAAAACTGCCATTCATGGGAGAGCCAGTACGTGCCAGTCATTGTGTCCCTTTCCCTAAGCCACACGCACCTCACCAGTCCTTCAACACAGGGTTGTCCAAACCCACTCCACAGATGAACATAAACTGAGGCCCTCGGGGAGATGACAGGGCTGAGGACGAGGGCTGGGACCAGAGCTGGTCACTGAGATTGTCAAACTTCCCTGACACTCCTTTACAGCTATGCATCTATGATGTTCTGTTGCTTTTGATTTATTGTTATTTACTGTTAAAAAAAGGCATAAAATAGTTCTTGTTGTCAAAAAACTTTTACAAAATAGTGGGCATCCACTTTATTCTTACTCTTCATGAATTATAGCTCAGAGTAGGGGTGAAGGCACATGCAACACAATTTTACACTATTGCAAGCTTCTTCTATTTTATACTGTCCAATCAGCTAAGCTACAGTTTTACTGTGTTGATTTTTTTCTCTCTAGGAATTTGAGGTTATTTTCTCTATGTTTCCCCCATTCTCTCAGAGTCCATCGATTGTGGTGTGAGTAGAACAATTGGTTGTGGTAGCCGGGCACCATCTAGTTCTTCTGGTCTCACTGTAGTTATCCTGTGGAATAGTTTCTTTCACTCTGGGCTTTCCTTCTTTTATTTTTGCTTCAGAGGAGTAAAGACCAATAGTTGTGTCTTCTATTGTCTCTCATCAGCTCTCAGTATCTCAAACTGCTCACTAAAGCACATGTTTATTAGTGTTTTCTCCTCTAAGAAGCACTCAGATTGCACTTTTTCTAAAACAGATTTATTCTTTTGACAGTCCTTGGTTTATTCAATAGTCTTCCCCAACACCACAATCCAATGGCATTGATTTTTCTTTGGTCTCCCTTATTCATTGCCCAACTTTCAGATGCATTGGTGTTATTATTTTGGTTAGGTTCTGTCGAGTTGAATATGACAAATTTGAACCCTATCCTACCATCCTCATAATCTTGGACACACTTAAACCCATTGTAATAATCACTGTGTGAATCCATCTGGTGAAAGGTCTTCTTCTCTTTTGCTGACTTTCTACTTTTCTAAGTGTGATATCCCTTTCCAAGGCATAACCTCTCTGAACAACATGCCCAAAGTATGTGAGACAAAGCTTCATTTTAAGGAAAACTTAATCTTTAATCTTTAAGGAAAAACTCCATCCTTGCCTTTAAGGAGGACACTGGCTTCACTTTGCAAAGACGTAATTTCTTTGTTCCTTTGGCAGTACTGTTCTCCAAAACCACAACTCAAAGGCATAGATTCTCCTGTCATTCTTATCCATTGTCCTGCTCTCAGATACAAAGCAGGTAATTGAAAAAAAAAACATGGTTGAATCAGGTGCATCTTAGTTTTTAAACTGACATTATTGTTCTTTAGGACTTTGGAGAGGTCTCTGACATCAGACTTTCCCAATGCAACACATCTCCTGATGCCCTGACTGCTGATATCAAGGATGTTGATGGTGAATCTAAGATGAAATCATTGATAATGTCAATCTTTTCTCTA